GACTCCTTTATTTAAAAATGGAAACCAGTGGTACAGTACTTTTACTCAGTGGTGTAAAGTAACAAAGTAATAATACTTTGTTACAGTACTTAAGTATTTTTTGGGAGTATCTGTACTTTACTTGAGTTATTATATTTCAGCCAACTTTTACTCCATTTAATTTCCTAATTAAAAAGTATACTTTTACTCCGATACATTTCCCCGAAGCATATTCGTTACTTACTACAAAACAGTCAGAAGAACACAGATTGCAGGAAAACAGGTTTGATGAATCAGTGGTCTGGCGCTTGCAAGTTAGACTCCTAAAAACACCTTTGCTCATGTGCAAACAAGCGCGCGCACAGCTGCAGATGATTCATTTTCCACTCAAGTCGAGTCCGGGGTGTGCGATAATACAGTATCTTCTGCGATAATATGGTAAGTGTTGTTGTAATGATGTGCGATCTGACATTATCAAGTAGGCTATAGCACCAAATCACACACACACACACAGAGTGCACGCACATTGATTTATTTGTCTATTAAAACTCAATTCCAGGCATTCTAAATTATGGACGACAAAATGCTTTTTATATTTATATAATTTAATATAGTTAAGTGTGCAGATATCTGGCACTATTTGCACCAAGTAGTATAAACAGCATTTAACTACAATTATTGCAAAGAAAATAATCTTATTTTTACAGTGAAAATAGAATCTATCGCTATTTGCGCTTAGTGAAATTAGCTTATCGCTAAAAAATACTGCTATATTCACTTAGTGTAAATAGCATATGTCGCTAAGAAAATATGCTATTTTCACTTATCTAATTGCTTAGTGTAAATAGCATACATTTTTGCACTACGCAGCCGCAGTGGAACAGCAGCGTCATTTTTATTAATTTTAACTAAGTGAATCGCCACGCCAAATTCATTCTTGTACAGGTGCTGCGGTACATGAAGCGTTTCTGTTGGTTCATGAAAACATCTCCGAAACGTCTGTATTTGACAAATATTGCATTTTATTCACTTAATCTGTGATAAAGTATGCAAGTACTGTGCAAACATCTCTACGGGAAGCAGAAAGTGTCCGACTTCACATCTATACTTTCAATTGACCGATCGGTAAGCAACGCCCCCCTTAGTTGCAAACTGTCTTAGTATGACAGCTTTCAGTGTGAAAACTGTTGGGTCTTGTAAATAAAGACTCTGGATTCGAACTGTAATTTACGTGCTTTGCAGAAAACTCTCGAAACAACCTTACATGTATACCACTCGCTGGCACATCTGTGTCACTCTAGCAGCAGCCAGTGGTTACACATCAATAACCCCACATCTCCCCTTTCTATAGAACAAAGGGTATACTACCTTTTTCTCAACAGATCTTAGAGGATTATTCTGCCTCTTTTGCTGGAAGATCTGCTCCCATCTAACTCCTTGAACAAACAGGTAGTTTCAACCTTGGTGCTTGCCACTTGAACATTTGTCCACAATTATTTACATTAAGTGGTAGGGAACCTGTACCCACACCACACACAGTTCACAGGTTCAGTCTCACTGGTTTCACTATTTGCCTCCCATACTTGGTTCTACAAGTGGATGTCAAATCTGGAACGTCCTGCTTCTCTGACTCCTGAGTGATAGGGAGTGACTCAGAGCTTGCAACAGAAAGCTGATCAGGTGTTCGAATGTTGTCTTCCTTGGCTTCTGCTTGCATTTGTACCAGATGGTGACGGTTACGTCTCACAGTCCCTTGCTGAGTGTTCACAAGGTAAGACCTCGGAGCAGAGTGACTGGCAACAATTGTTCCTGATTCTTTAGCGTCAGATATCCAGACATGATCTCCTGGCTGCAGTATGCTGAGTTTTCTGGCTCTGTGACTCCTATTGAAAAGCTCTGCATCTGCATCTCTCCTTACCTTCTCTTTTGAAGAAACAGCCACGGTATCAGGGAGTACTGGATTTATCAACGATGGCAGTGTAGGCACAGTCATTCGGAACCTCCTACCCATAAGAAGTTGAGCCGGACTGTATCCATTTTGCAAGTGGATCACTCTATAAGCTAAAAGAGCAAGGTATGGATCATTGGCTTTCTTGAGAAGAGCCTTCACCGTCTTGACTGCCCGTTCAGCCTCACCGTTGCTCTGGGGAAATCTTGGGCTACTAGTTACATGAACAAATCCATATGAAGCTACAAAGGATGCAAATGAGTGCCCAGAGAATTGTGGCCCATTGTCAGTAACCAGTGTCTCTGGAACTCCATGACGCGCGAATATGGACTTCATGTGAACAATGATGTCGGTAGACCTGGTAGGTGTTAACTGAGCTATCTCCACATATCTGGAGTAGTAGTCTACCACAAGCAGGTACATCTTGTTTCCCAACATGAACAAATCTGCCCCTAGCCTTTGCCATGGCCTATCAGGGAACTGAGTGGGCATAAGGGGTTCCTGTCTATCTTTAATGCATGTCCTGCAGTTGAGGACTATTTCCTTCAGCTGATGACTTAACCCTGGCCACCACACTGACTGACTTGCCCGCTCTCGGCAGCTCACAAGTCCCAAGTGTCCCTCGTGCAATTTGTTTAGAACGCTGCTTCTCATGGCTGCTGGAATAACCAGCTTCGTGCCTCTAAGCAACAGTCTATCTTGCACAGTTAAAACAGCACATTCTGCCCAATATCGTTTCAGTATTGGGTCACTCTTGCTGCGCTCTGTCCACCCTTCAACGCACAGTTGCATCACACTGGAACAGACATTGTCACTCGTTAATTCCTCTCTCAGCTGTCCCAGATACGTTGTACTTGCTGGTAAATTTTCCAATAGTGAGTCTACATATATGTTCGTATCCTCCCAAAGTTCTCTGTCTTCTTGTGACTCACTCTGTTTTACAGGAGCGCGTGATAGAGTGTCAGCTACCCACAAGCTCTTTCCTGGCAC